CTTGGATTGTTTAGTGATAAGAGGGAGATGAAATTGGACGGTAGTGATGATGGGGAGGATGAAGAGCAGTGTGAGAGAGTAGGTTTTACTCTTTTGTGATGGGAAAGGGAAGGAAAATGACAGTCGGTTCAGTTCTAAAACGGTATCGTTTTGAAATCCAAAAATGACATAGCCCAAAATGCTACTCTTTTAATGTCTTTGAAGCCCAAACTCTAACAGTTTTGGGGCCTAATGACTAATGGGGCATTTTGAAGACCCAAAGTGATAATTTTAGGCTCACTTCTTTCCTTTTTTGGTGTGTGAATTTTTTAGTGGATTGCTAGTTGAATTTGGACATTCAAAGAATGGAAAGCTAATTGGCAAAAAAAAAAAAAAAAAAAAAAGGGAAGGTAAATTATGAAGGTGAAAAAAAATCAAGTTGCAAGTTAGGTAGATTTTTATCGAAAGACTTTGTATGGAATGATATCGTTCAATTTTAAATGGATCATATCGATAAGAGAGATACGAGAGAAAAATTTGTACATTTAAAATTTGATTTATTTATTTATTTTATTTTTATACAATTGATATTATAAATGTTAAACTTCTAATTTAATGATTAAAATTTGATCCTTGATTAAAAAATACAAATTTCAATTTAATTATAACCTTATCTTCACTTATTGATTCATAGATGACATTGACAGTTATGTTAAAATTAGTACTTCAAAAGAAGCGAAACTTAATTTGATTGATTAACGTAAAAATTTTTAAAAAGTGACATCCTTAAATTTTTATATATAAATTGATTTCAAGACAAAATTTTCACATGATGAAGATTCTATTCTTAGTCTTAGGCTTTTTATATTTATAGAATGCAAAAACTTAAGAGTGATTGTGACTGAATATAACTATATTCAGTTTTGTATCTTTGGAAAGAGTTAGAATAGAAACATGCAATGAAGCAAGATGACAAAGTCCCAGATTTCTTCATAATCATAGATTTGGATATCAAATCAAGATTGAAAATTTTATGTAAATTTATCCACGGATCATACCCGATTTTAGCATGTATGTCTTAGATATGAGTTTTAGAGTTTGGATTCAGTTTAATCCATAATTTTATTTTATTAATAAAATTTATTTTATTTAATTTTAATTCTTAAAATATACTTTAAAATAATAATATTTTCATAATTTTAAAAAATTTATAAGCTTCTTGATCCGACAAATTGGGTCAGATCCTTAATAAGACTTCTAAACAATTGATCGAACGTAACCTGACCTAACTCATGGACAAATATAATTCTAATGTATATATTGCATTTTTCATGATTAAACAACAACTTAATTAAAATTATATAGAAATTAATTTAAAGACTTCTTTGATATATGTATATGCATATGTTTATGAATATATATATATATATATATGTATGTATGCATGGGTGTGATTATAGACGGAATCTAGGTGACAAAGATAAATTTTCATGTTATGAGCTAAAAATTTCAAACTCACATGTTAACAGTGTTAGAAACAACTTGAGAAATTGGGACGAGAGACAATGAAATTTGTTGCTTTGAAGATAGAAACCCTCTAAGATGAATAACATGGCTGCTCTCAAGTGCCGCAATCAACGTAACTTTCAAATCACGGATTAATGTTGCTTAAATTTTCAAACTTAGCTGCCCCTTTTCTCATCACCAGTGACTTCTTGGTGTTCTTCAGGTGCCTTCACTTAGAAGATGGAAGCTTTACTTTAGAAAAAAAAAAAAAAAACATATCCCTTGACCAATGGCCGTGATGTATTAGGGAAATAATTTATAACTGACATAACGGTAAACCCTAATTGTGTTATATGGTTGAGGAATACAAAAAATAACAAAGGTTTTCTTTATTATAGGATCCCAATATATTGCAAGCCTCAATAATTTATATTGAACTTACGAATCATTTATCAAAAAAATTTATTATTAATAATGAGAATCGAATTTAAATTTTATAAGCGAAATATGATCCATTCGATTGCCCTAATCAATGATAAAAGGTTTTCACATGTCAAACTTATACAAATCATATTTTCAGGGAGGAGACCCAGCCACATGTTCTAGATTCTGTTTGTCAAACTGATCTTCTTTCCTTCTATTCTGTTTTTTCCACTAAGCCTAATCAGGTAGGAGGTCTTTAGGGCTTAATTTTTCAAAGATTTTGCCATGTGCTTAGCCGCTTTTAAGGGTTATTAAAGTTAAGGTTTGGGCCATAATTTCCTGCGGTATTAATGTATATTTTTTTCTCTTATGCTAGGGTAAGCTTGATGGTATCGTAATTTTTTTTTTCTTTTTGGGTTTGTTTTTCTTCAATTTTTATTAGTTTTTTTTTTTTTTGCCAGAGACAAAACACATCATTTGGCAACTTTTATTAATGTATTAATATACTTTTTTTTGTTTTCAATAAAAAAACCATTAATCTGAAAAAAAAGAAAATAAAATGTTATATATTTTCATTCTAGACTTATATATATTGATAAATTAACACATATATACAACACAAAAAATACATAAAAAAAAAAGAAAGAGAATCGTAGAAATAAGAGAAATGCATGTATCACACATGAATGTTGCATGGTATATATATACACGTATATATGCATGTATGAACCATTACTCGATCACGTCTCCCTTTCTAATTGCTTCTAAATGGAAAACTTAAAAAGGCAAAAGAAAATCTAAACCTTCAACATCTTGCTTGTTTTTCACCAAAAATATTATACTTTAGCCCCCACACCACATGCTTCATATCAATTCTTCACCTGACCATACGTTAATTTAGGATATATAGAGATTTTTAAGACTTGCATGTGACTTTGGGTTAAATGCATGACGTTTAAACTAATTTTATTTCAATTTTTAATTAAAAAACTTTATGCAAGATAAAAATTAATATTCACAAGCTAGAGAGAATAAAATAGAAAAAGAAAGAAAATTTTTTAATTTAAAAATTGAGTTATAGAAATGTGATTATAAAACATAATCATTAAATACAAAATTTTCATTATTTTCTTTTATAAATTAGGTAGTAATATAAGAATAAAAGTAAAGATTATAAATATTAAAATTTTAATTTTAAATTTATTAAATATTATTTTTTGTCATTTTTTTATTAAAAAAGTCAAGTCGTTAATATATATGTCATTCACTTTGCATGAAATTAGTCTAATCAAATTTGAAATTAATTAATTGTAAGTGAGAATGTGTGATTATATTTCTATGAGCATGTGGAGTGGGAGAATGATGTATATAATTTTATACCAAAGTTTTCAACTAATTGAAGCCTACAATTACTGCACACTTTATCCAATATCATGGAATATCTGTAATGAGAAATCTAAACCACAAATGGGCCCTTTTGAAATTCAAAGCCTAATTTACTGACAAACTATAAACCTCAACTTTTTATGACTTCAATAAAGGTTTCAAATTTCAACTATTGTTATGGCCTAATTGGTGAAAGAAACATACTTCTGAATTCGATATTTAAAAAATAATATTTAAATATCAATATGAATTTTTTTTTTAAAATTATGACTTCCTTTATAGAAAAAGCACATGTATTCCATATTCTATATTTCCATTCTTCTTCCTTTACAAGGATTGGAACCACATATATATAGTGCTAATTACTATTAAATTTTAATTAATTCTTGCAATTAAACCACAGAAAGAAGGTGAGAAGTCTAATAAAAATGATCAATCATCACATTTAGTTTCATAAATACTTAACATTAATTCTTCCTTTTTTATAGTATAACAAATACTAAAATAGACCGACAAAAAAGCCATAACCAAAGAAAATATATACTTACTATAGTTTATGTAATCAAGAGGCAAAAACTTGATTTTGAAATGAGCCCTCATCTTTAAAAAAATAATAATAATCTAGAAAATTTCAACTATATTAATGCTAGATTTTTGTTGCTTAATTCCTCAATATCTTGCAACAATATGTAAGTTCCCAGGTTTGAACCCCCAATTATATTAAGATTTAAGACGTGAATACAAAGTATCTAAATTCAAATCCCTACAATTTTTTGTTGATTGATAATTTATCAATTTAAAAAATTTTAAAAAATTCATAAATTTTATTAATGAGTTAACGGCTTACTTTAATCTTAAATATAGAATAACCTTCCTTTTCTCTAAACTTTTTTCGTCCAAAAAAAAGATCCTCAGTATCTTATGTGTTGAACACATGTATTAGCAAATTGAATTAAAGTTTGGGTTCAATTAGAGGTGTAAATGATACATTAGTACTCGTAAATTACTCGGGTTCGATTCGAAGAAAACTCGAATTTGATTCGATTATTATCGAGTCAAGCTCGAGCTCGAGTAGTTCGACTTATCGATCGAACCGAATTCAAGTATTCTTATATCTGACTCGAGTAGCTCGCGAGCCTAATCGAACTTTTATATTTAAATATATTTTTATTATTTTAATTAATAAAATATTTCGAATCCGAGTTCGAATTCGAGTTCGAGCATGAATAATCGAATTTTTGTCGAGTATACGAATCGAGCTTATTTTTATATATTAATCGAGCTTAATCGAACGAACTCGAGTAGCTCGAATTCGATCACAAATCAAGCTCGAGTTTGAAAAATAAAATTTGATCGAGCTCGAGCCAAGTATCGAGTCCCGAGTTGTGAGTCGAGCTCAAGCTCGAACTTTTCACTATTCGACTCGACTCGGCTCGATTACACCCCCCGATTCAACGACGAAAATTTTTGTTCAGAAAATGAAAGGTAACAATATTTATTTAATTGAATTAAATTTTGGGTTTAACGACGGAAAGTAATAATATTTATTAGCAAATTGAATTAAATTTTGGGTTTAACGACGGAAATTTTTGTTTAGAAAATGAAAGGTAATAAAGTTTGGGTTCAACGACGGAAATTTTTGTTTAGAAAATGAAAGGTAACAATATTCAAAGTCTTGTCTTCCTATAAACTGTATAGCACATGTGTGAATAGTAGCTTTAATTTGGACTGGTTAACTTCCTATATATATCAGTTCACTTATCTGATATCTCCACGGATCATAGAACCAGAAAGACATTGTATCTCTAATTGTCCAAAATCTCTCTTTCCATCGTTGTCTTTTATCACAAGTTCAACATTTAGGAAGATGTGTAGGGTTAATCCTAAAAATGTAGCATTTCTTGTACTTATTGTCTTGTTGTTTTGGTCTTCAAGCTTTGAAGTTTGCAGTGGTGGGGAAGGCAAGCACTGGAGGCAGAACATAGCCAGTGGTCTTCGCCGACAAATGGCAGGAGGAAGCTCTGCCACTGCCACCTTTAATGTGTTAGACTACGGTGCCAAAGGTGATGGACGCACAGATGACACAAAGGTGTGCAAATCATATGCATCAGTCAATGATAGCCATTTTTATCCCATTCATAAACTTCTAAAATTATTGGTACACATGATGAAAAGGACCAAAAATAGTATAAGAATAAGAACACTAACCATGCTTATCCTCATGAAGGCAAAATATGATTTCTTATGCATGTTACATTCTTTTAAAATTTTAACTGTATTTACTAGTTTAAATTATGCTCTTCAAGATTTTCTAGCCTTAAAAAAATTTTTTTTTTCGGATTTTATTTAAAAACCTTTTACATTTTCATCTCCAACCATTCATTATTGAACCCACAATGTAAAATGGAGTAAAACTTTTATATCAAAATCATCAAGAATTAAAGCTTCTGTTTGATTGCAAGCCAGGCATTCGAAGCAGCATGGGCTGCAGCTTGTAAAGTACAGGCATCAACAATGATGGTTCCATCGGGCTCTGTATTTCTTGTTGGAGCCATCTCCTTCTCAGGCCTCAATTGTCAACCCAACATTGTATTTGAGGTAAATTATTAGAGGTTTTGTTTTACTTTAGCAAAGTATCAGAAGTTACATCAGGCTTACAATAATGTGATGTAGTTGGATGGCAAGATCATAGCTCCTACAAGTTCTAGTGTTTGGGGATCAGGTCTCTTGCAATGGATTGAATTTACAAAACTAAAGGGGATTACAATCAGAGGCAAAGGAACTATTGATGGACAAGGTTCTGTCTGGTGGAATGACTCACCCACATTTGATCCTACAGCTGAAGATTCAACAACTAATGACATGGTAACTGGGGGACTTCTTCGATAATGTGATAGCTTGTAAAAAGAAATAACATTGCAGGCATTGCCATTTTTGTTTTTACCAGGGCTAACAAAGTTTTCTTATGCAAATTTAATCATGTCTGGCAGGTAAATGCTGAGCTGAAGGGAAAGATGCCAGGCACCAGACCAACAGTAATCACTTTCTCTAACACTCCATTTTTACATGCTGACACATGATTTTGAGATCAAAGCATCTGATTTGTGATGTCATTTGGCATGCAGGCTTTAAGATTCTATGGAAGTAATGGTGTAACAGTGACTGGTATAACTATACAGAACAGCCCTCAGACCCACCTCAAATTTGATACTTGCACAAGCGTTCAGGTTTCCGACTTCACTGCATCATCTCCTGGTAACAGCCCCAACACAGATGGAATTCACCTGCAGAACTCCCAAGATGTGGTCATCTCCGGCTCAAACCTGGCTTGTGGTAAAATGCAAAGTCCAAGCATTGCTCATTAATACTTCTCAAATGAACAATTTGCCAACCGCGAAATTTCTTTCGGCTTCTACAGGGGATGATTGTGTATCGATACAAACTGGATGCTCAAACGTATATATCCACACTGTGAAATGTGGACCTGGTCATGGAATCAGCATTGGAGGACTTGGAAAGGACAACAGCAAAGCCTGTGTTTCGAACATCACTGTTAGAGATGTCACTTTGCAGAACACATTAACTGGAGTCAGAATAAAGACATGGCAGGTATGACACCCGATCATCGACAAATTTTGTTACCAGTGAGCCTGCTAGACTCAAACTATTAAAAGAAAGTCTTATTGTTTCTCATTACAGGGAGGCTCAGGTGCAGTACAACAAGTGATGTTCTCAAATATTCAAGTTTCAGAAGTTGAAATTCCAATCATGATTGATCAATTCTACTGCGACAAGGGCAGCTGCAAAAATCAATCTTCAGCTGTGGCAGTTTCGGGCATAAACTATGTAAATATACAAGGAACCTATACTGTGAAACCTGTACACTTTGCATGCAGCGATAGCCTGCCATGCACTGGAGTTTCTCTAAGCACCATTGAGCTAAAATCAGTTCAAGAAAACCACCATCTCGACGGACCCTTCTGTTGGGAGACATACGGAGAGCTCAAAACTACCACTGAACCCCCAATCAATTGTTTGGAGATTGGGAAACCATCAAAAGCAGGAACTCATTCTAATTTTGAATCATGCTGATGAAAACAGCCTTGGGTGATAGGATAATTATGTAGCCATACAAATATGAATGCTGAGTTTTGCCTTTCATATATACTCATAGGGTCATAGTCGATTAGTCGTAGCTATATTCTTAGCAAAAGACACAAGCACTGAAGCCCATAGTATAGTCAAATGCAAATTGTTGTCTCCAGGAAATTATGTTTCCTTGGCAATGTAGCAAACTATATCAGATAAAAAGCGACAAACCTGTAGTTTGCGTTAGTTACCGAATAGTGAATATTGGATTCTGGCAATTGTTGCACCTTGCAACTGTTGGTTGCACCTACCACATATAAATTTGTTGACTGGTTTAGCTGATGCCATATCATTAACCATCCTAGGTTGATATTCCTCCCTATAACTTTCAATTTAACAACAATTGGAAAGGCATTCTTTGCGTATCCAACAATGCATGGCAATAATGTACAAGCTAAAGGTAAAAACACTAGAACCCAGAGCTTAACTCAGTTTGAACAACCACATTAAAAGGTGACATTCAACATATCTGAAATTTAAATCCCAACAACCCCTTCCCCTATTATTAGACTGTGGCATCCTATGTGATATATATATATATATATATATAGATAGATAGATAGATAGATAGAACACCGGCATAATGAATTGCAAACTTCAGCAAATAAGCTTGAATATAGCAAAGAAAAGAAATATAAGGTTCCAAATAGATGGGATGAGATTCATGTGAAACTTCTCAAAACATGTCACATAGGGTGAAATATCTTGAAAGTATATGTCAAAGAAAGCAAGTTACAAAAGTAGATGAGGATGAGAAACTAAGGGTAGACTTTCATTTTCCCATTTCCAATTAACAAGGTAACCTATGAACAATAACTACTTGATAATCACTCTACAAAAAGGAAATATCCATCACAAGTCTCTCTGAAGTTGACAACTTGTATCATCCATCTCATCTAAAAAATTCTGTGGTTCTTTATTTAAGCTATTATGGTCTTGCTAACAACCTCGACCATACTTTCAGTATCACACGATTCACACCCACCATTTTGCTGCTCTATGTATTAACACCTAAAAATAGAACATAACGCGAAGATTAAAATCCAATGATAACAAAATACTAATCAAAGTTTTAATTTTTTTCTGTTTAATATGAACCTGACATGATTGACGATGCCTCTCTAGACATGCATGATTTTCCAAAACCAACACCAGCTTTCTTCCTTTTCCGGGTTCCACCTTTTCAGGGCTGGGAAGTCCAGTCTTATCCTTGTACTTCTTTCTAATGCCTGCAAATTGGAACAGTATTAAGCAAATTAAAAACCTCATCTCTAGGCACCACAATCATAGAGTCCATCACATATCACCAAAAAGGGTGAAAATTTAATGCTCGTTATTCATGATACACTCTCCAACGGTAACTGAACTAAAAAGCTAAAAAAAAAAAAGGTTAATCTTCCGGATCATGTTAGGTAATATTAAGATTATACAGAAAGTTGTACTAACATCTAGCTGTGGGCAAATACTGTCAAGAACTTCATCAGTCATTCTGTCAAAAACCCTGCAAATTCAAGAGCCATAGTCACACAAGGAATTTAGTGATATGTCATAAAACTTGATTTTGAAATAACATATTAGAGTTAGAGAGCAACAAAAGAGTCTCTCTCGGAAGCTCCTTTCCTACTTGTTTAACCATGAATAAGCCCATAACACTACTATTTTAAGAGGAAATAGGACTTAGACTGGTATTATCAGCGAACTCAGTTTTGACCTACATAGGTTATATAACCATTGACCCACTAATAGTTTTCTGTGCGACATGCAGTGTCAGCAAAATAGAGCCACTTGTACTTAAAATGGAAATAGGGTTTTGGCATGCCTTTAACCCTATAGCATTGTGGAACAAGGGTTCGCAAATACAGAGTTTTGAGGCAACACTGTAAAGGCCACTGTACTCAAAAGTCAAAAGAAACACCTGACTGCTGGAATGTAATTAACAGCCTTGTCTTGTTCATTCAGATTCCACAAATTCTGAAAGGACTTAAAACAGAAGGGAAACTCCAACATCACAAAGGAGACACTTGTGTGGCATTTAGTTCTCAACATTGAATTCTTACTCCTAACAGGCTAACATCACCCTACTCCCATGCAGCATAAAGTTTAGCAGTCAAGATTCAATATATACATATAATCTAAAAGTACACAATATCTAGCGCCTTACACTACAATTGACAAATTAACAACAATATATTGCAATTATACAGAAGAAAGAACCTGAAGATTGTCAAATTCATGCTGAAAAACACGTGCAGGAAGCCCTGACAAATCAACTGTAAACCTCGCACCATTAATATCTAGTGCATCAATCTTTACAGATTAGGGCCTCTGAAAGCAAAAATGAATAGGAGTAAAACACAAGCAAGCGAGTAAAGGAGACAATACATCATATACAATTACACACAAGATGAAACAAGAGAGTAAAGGGATAGAATCAGTTGCTGCAAGTACCTCTAAATCAGCATAGATTCTTGGGAAAGATAAGCAACTTTCATTAAACGGCAATGTCTTCTTTGAACATTTTATAACTCTCGGATTCACAAGGATGATTTCTTGTCCTTGACCTCGCTCGCCAACGGGATTAAACACCATCAATTGAACATTAATCCCTACTTGCGGCGCTGAGAGACCAATACCATCAGTTCTATAACAGGAAGCAAACAAATTTTCTCTTCATAAGCACCTAATTACTATAGTTTCCTTTTTTAAAAGAAAAAAAAAATTTCATTGATCACCCAAGTTTTAATTAGTAGTGAAGACAAATTTATACTTCAATTGGTCATTATTTTAGCCACAAATCAAAAGTAAACAGCAAAAAAAAAAAAAAAGCATCATATCAATATTTTTTTTTTTTTTAACATTTATAGGAAACAATTACTATATTATTCATTGAATTAAGACTTACTTGTACATAACGTCGAACTTCTCATCGACAAGTTTCTTCAAATTCTCATCAAACGTATCAATTCGTTTATTTGTCTTCCTCAATAATGGGTCTGGTTACTCCACTATTTTCAGCGGCGGTACGAACCGAAGATCCTCCACTTCAAAACAAAAAAAAAAAAGTAACTTTAGAAACAAAAATAAAAAACTCAGTTTTTTTTGACTCATTGCTTACTGGAAGCAACTTCCTTGTATTTAGATAAAAACCCTCGCTTGGCTTGATCGTGGACCGGGGTTAGCTGAGGAATGGTTTGGTTTACGAACCGCGCGGGTGAAGTGAAACGGTTAAACCGGTGAAGGAATGCTGTGGAGAGAGACGTTGAGTGGTGGAGGGTGGGAACGAAAACGCGCGTTAAAGAAGGAGAGTGGAAGTGGAGCCCACTCGCGCAAGCCATTGAAGATTTTCGGACAAAGATCAGTGTCTGACAAAAAAGGAGTGGGTTTTTTTTTTTTTTGGTGTGCTAGAAAAGATTTTTTGGAGTTTTTGCGTTTTAGTCCTTGTGAATTGTTATTTTGCTGATGTAAGCCGCAATTTGATTTTTATTTTCTTTGTCTTTTTTCTCTGAATTTTAGGTCAGCCAGTGGTTTTTATCACAATGCCAACGGTTTTTCTTGGCTAGAATTTTTTTATTTAAATAGTCAAAATTTTTTTATAAGTAAAAATTATAATATTTTTTAATAAGATATAATATATGAAAATAATAAGTTAGAAGTAATTACTTTTACAAATTTTTATTACAAAAATAAAAGTGGTATTATCATTTTATGTGATCCTTAAGATTTTTGTTAGCTTCACAATTTTCATTATCATATCACTTATTTTTTTCCTTTGACTATCAAAAAATAGTGTTATTTTATTGTTATATTTATATTTTATCAAATTATTTTATTTATTAATTTACATTAATTAAGTTTTTAAATATTTATTTTTATTCAATTAAGCCATTAAATAATTATTTTTACTTAATTAAATCTTTAAATTTTTATTTTCATTCAATTGAGCTCTCAATTAAATAAAAATAATAGTGGACAATTAATCAATTTTTGTCTAATAATGATTCAATTAATAAAAATAGATATGAAATCTTAATTGATTATAATAAAATAAAATAAAAATAATTTTTATTTTAATTCAGAAAATTTTTTTATACTTGGGTCTTAATCATTAACCCCGTTTTGCTATTTTTCTTCTTATTTTAATTTTTTTAAACAAATAGGTATGAGTTAAAAAAATTATTTTATACATTTATGATTAGGGATGTAAATAAATCAAATTACTCTTAACCTATTTAGACTTGATTGCAAAGATATTTCATTTCAAATTAAGTTTGAATGACTCAAGTGATTAGCGAAATCGAGTTCGAATTTTGTAATAACCTTATTAACAATGTTTTTTCTCCTTCGATTTGATTAGGAGCTTTGATGGTTAAAATTACAATAATGAATCTAAAATTTAATTTAATTATTTTATATATATAGTTATTTTTAAGAAGTAGATATAATTAATTTGAAATTTAAATTTTATTATTTATAATTATTTTTTATACTCAGATGAATTTTTTCATACAAAAAATTACCTAATAATCATTTATTAATAAAATAGACTAATTCATCGTAATTAAATCATAATTATTAGGTGAATAAGTACAATTAATCAACCCCAGCAAAGGTTTATGTTACTAAATTTAACTTTTTAATTGCCATGTGAGCCCCTGGGAAGCATAGAAATTCCAGGAACTGCCCTGAAGAAAAATAAATTCATCGAAGGAATCCAATCTGGTCAACACGATAAATAAAAGAGCAGAGAAACAAACGGAGAGACTCTCCAAGGGAAATAGATCAGATCCTTCTTCCAAGCTCTCCACAAAGGTAAACCAAATTAAATTCTTTTTTCTGCAATTTAACTTTTTCTTTTATCAAAATTAAAACAGGTAAAATAGATCCATCAAGTTCCTTTTTTTTTTTTTTTAATTTTCTTTTGGATGATTTGTTCTAAATTTTAATCAACTTCTTTTTGGTCAGAGCTTGATTTGATATATCTGTTTTCATTTTAATATTTCTGAGTTCATTTTATTGTTTCTGAATTTAGGATTCATTTTACCAGTTTGGGTTTTTTTCTCTTTTTTTTTTTTTTGTAGATATCTATGTTTGATGATTCTTATGTCTTTTTTTAGATTTTTGGGTTGGAAAATTTTGGATATTGTTCTATCAAGTTGATGTATTTCGTTTCAAATTTCATTGGGTTTTTATTTTTATGCGTTTTTATTTTTTTGGGTTTCTAATGGATGATTTTTGCTGGCCTTTTATGTGAAAGCCAGTATTTTGAGCTAGAAAGAGAAAAAAGAGAGATGGGGCTGACATTTACAAAGCTCTTTAGCCGGCTTTTTGCCAAGAAGGAGATGCGTATTTTGATGGTGGGTCTTGATGCAGCTGGTAAAACCACTATTTTGTACAAGCTCAAGCTCGGTGAAATTGTCACCACAATCCCAACCATTGGTGAGTTATGGCAAATTCATATCTCCCTGAAAAAAAAAAAAACGATGGTTGTTTTGGAATGGAAAGCCTTAGAATTCTTAATCTAATTGATTCTGCTCCCTTTGTGGTAATTATGAAGCAAAAGAAATGGTTCAAAAGATTTCATTTTGATTTATAATTAACACTGATTCAACTGCTTGTTGTATGTGAATCTTATTACCTTATAGATTACTTACCATGATTGTGGCCTTGTTCGTTATTTTATTGTCAGTTTGTGAACCCTATGGTTTTATCTTTATTGGGAGGGAAAATGATTCTAGATGAACCTGATTTGATATGATTTGTAGATTTGAAGGAGAAGTCAAGAGTTCCTGCATGTTTTATGTGAACTTTCAACAGTATCATTATAGCTTTGAAGAAGAAAAACTTATTAAATATGATTTTTGGGTTGGTTGAGTGGTGAGTTGTTATCTGTTCCATACGGTTTTCTAAAGAAATTACAGCAAAGAGTTGCATCTCTTTAGGTACTGCGAGCCTAGAGGTTTATTGATTCTCTTGATGGATATAAAGAGATTATTGTGTGGATTGATTTTTCCTCATGAGATGGCTTTTGGTGGTTTACCAAAATCTGTAATGTTAAAGGTCTATTCACACTTTTTTGCAGGATTCAATGTTGAGACAGTGGAATACAAGAACATCAGCTTCACTGTTTGGGATGTTGGTGGTCAGGACAAGGTATGCATCTTAAAAACTAATGGAGTATAGTTCTATGAGGAACATAAGTTAAACCTTTTGTGTCATTTACCCTGATTCATCCTGGATCTCCAACAACATATATCAATATCATGATGTTTAGATGATAAATCATGAAGCCTTATTTTCTAGAATGCATATGAATATAAAACTCTGCCATCTGATAATTCATGCTGAAAATCGTTTAAAAAAAAAAGAATCCTTTTTGGCATTTGTGCTGTTTATATAGGGCTCCTAGAAGCCATATTCTTGGTGGAAATTCTACTTCTTTCTACTATTTTTATCTGAAGCTCTGTATAGTCACCAACGTACGTTCTTTCAAATACAGATCCGTCCTTTATGGAGGCACTATTTCCAGAACACTCAGGGTCTCATTTTCGTGGTGGATAGCAATGACAGGGACCGTGTTGTTGAGGCAAGGGATGAATTGCACAGGATGTTGAATGAGGTATGTTGCCTAGTTAAATTAAGGAAAATCCATAGAAATATTTTTCGTCTTTATCTTGCACAGGCAGATGCTGGGCACAACTGCACAAGGGATTTATAAATGAATGATAACATTTTTTTCAGGATGAATTGAGAGATGCTGTTTTGCTTGTATTTGCCAACAAACAAGATCTTCCCAATGCAATGAATGCTGCTGAAATAACTGATAAGCTTGGTCTTCATTCTCTTCGCCAGCGCCACTGGTAAAAGTTACCTCTCTTGTTTCTTTGTGCTCCCTCCCACATGTTTTCCGCTCGCACTATGTGCAATTTTCTGATGCGATTTGGTGTCTGTTATAGGTATATCCAGAGTACATGTGCAACTTCTGGAGAAGGCCTCTATGAGGGGCTTGAATGGCTTTCCAACAACATCGCTGGCAAGGCAAGTGCATAAACCTCAAAATCTGAGTATAAAAAACTGTTCTGTCGTAGAACAAGCACTTGTAATTTGAATACGATGGAATTGACAACATGGGTCTGATTCCTTTTTGATATATAAGTCATGATTAGCTTCTGCGATTCCTTATCTACCTTATTTTTTTTTCTTTTTGCAGGCATGAGGGAGGATCAGTGTTTTGGTTGTTAGTAAGACTTGTTGGAACTCTGGCAACTCTGGAGAGGATAGCTTCCTCTTTATCCATGAACTTTTGTAATGACAGAATGTTTCTTAGATATAATATGCGCGTTTGTTTGACCTCTGCTTTTGCAAATACTAGTAGTTGTAAACAACACTTTATTACTCCAGCATGTTGGAAATGGGATTTCTTGCTTATTACTGTTTTTCTTTTATTTCTTGGCTGCAATATCTGATATAGTATCTGATTTTCTATTTGTCCATGATCTGTGCCGCCTCAATTTTTTGATGAACCCCAGTTTCCATTTTTACCTTTATCTGGTGCTCTTGTTGTGCATCAAGCGGTACAAGATGCTGTCAAGAGTTGATGAAATTATTTGCTTATGCTTACAGTTCATGTGGTTTTGAAATCATTTGACCTTCAAATCCATGATCATGCTTTTAACAAAAAGCAAATGAGGTTATATTATTATAGACATCTTATTTGGTTCAAGTCCGAAGCAATTGGACCTGGCTCAATAGGGTTCAAATTGTAGGCTAAATTATTCATTATTTTTATGATTTATTGATTTATTTAATGTTATGTTTTTTGGTTGGTTATTCATTTATTTATTTTTTTGTTTGTTTTTGATTTTTCGTTTTTTTCATTTGATTTTATCTTTAGCTTTTTTGTTAAGATAATAATGGGATAATAGTTAAAAACAAGAAAAAAAAATAAAAAAATAATGCTGATTCTGCATAGAATGTTGGCAGAATTGTAGTTGGTTTTAATTTTTTTAAGATAAATTTTATGTGATAATACAAAAATCTGGTTAAAGGGACTCATAGCTAATTAGAAACTCTTTTGATTATTTCCTATAAATAAACACATTGATGGGGGGGGGGGGGAACATAGAAAAGAGATTAGAGAAATAGAAACACATAAGCAGAAAAATACACATAGAGATAAGTAAGAAAATATATGGCAAAAAGCAAAAAGATCAAGAAAAAAAAATAAAAATAAATTGAACATTTATAGAAAATTTTGAAAAATTATCAGATTTTGGTAAATTTTTTAAATTTCAATGAATTTCGGTATCAGTTGAATTTTTTGGCTAGCTTTCGATGAATCAATCTAGATTTCGACGAAAATTTTTAAAATCTAGTGAATATTTAATCGGTGTTCTTGGGTTTCTAGAGAGAGATGGAGAGAAAAAGAGAAGAAGAGAGAAAGGGAAAAAGAGAAATCTAAGAAAAAAAAGCTGAATTCGATTTTTTATACATGATTAAAACGACGTCATTTTTACCTTAATAAACTATCCAAGATCTGTCTGTTTTTATTCAGGGCGACTAGACTCATGCGCAATTCGCTTCTGCCGACCCGCGTTTCAACCAATCCCTTCAGTTGAGCTGTGTCAAGCCTTCAAGTCGCGTTTTTCAGTTATTTTCCCTGCCTGCAGTTAAGCCAAATTTTTTAGCCAAGTCGAGTTGTTTTCCTATTTTGGTATTTTTTTTATTTATTTTTTTTAATTTTTTGTATGATTAAATTTTGAAAAAATAAAAAAATATAAAAAAATAAAATATTTGAGAATAAATAATAATTATCCAAAGATAAAATTTTTAAAAATATAAAATAGTAAATTTTTATAAAATTCTTAAGTAAGAATTTTTTAAAAAATTTATCCCAAATGGTGAAATAATTTAGATAAAATTTTAATAATAATAATTAATATTTATTTTCAATTCCAAAGAAAAGAAAAAAACAGAAAAAATAATAAAAAGAAAATTTAGACAAAATTTTTTATTAAAAATATTTAACAATTATCCGATGATGAGAATCTTAGAAATTTCAGATAATAACTTTCTAAGAAATCTCTAAATGAGAAATTTTTTTAAATTCACCCTAGATGATGGAAGAATTTAAATGAAACTTCAAGAAAATAGTTGTCATATTATTTTCTTTCAAAAAAATAAAAAAGTAATTTCTAAATAAACCCAAATAATGAAAAATTTAGAAATAAAAAAAATTCTAAATTGACCCAAATAGTGAAAAATTTAGAAATAAAAATAAAAATAAATTTCAAGGATGAATAGTAATCGTAAATGGTTGATTATCTAAAAAAATTTTAAGTGAGAAGATATTTCTAATTTTGACCTAAATGGTAGATGAATTAAAAATATTTTCAATAAAAAAATAATTAAATCTTTCCAATGACGGAACATTTTCAAGAAAATAAATAAGGATCTTGAATACTCTTAAAGTATGAAAATATTTTTAAGAGTTCTGTCAAATTGATGAAAAATCTTAAGAATTATTTCAATATTCAACATAAAAATTTAAAATCATTAGAATTAAGACCATAGAATAAATTTAAAATTAAATGATACCATTTTAAAATGGGTATTGTGGGGTGCTATAGGCTTCTTCACACGTAATCGAATTCCTGAACCTAATTTTATTCAGAATGTCAGAACTTATTCTTTATAAGAATTATTTCAATATTCAACATAAAAATTTAAAACCATTAGAATTAAGATCATAAAATAAATTTAAAATTAAATGATACAATTTTAAAATAGATATTGTGGGGTGCTATAAGCTTCTTCACACGTAATCGAACTCCTGAACTTAATTTTGTTCAAAAGGTCAGAACTTATTCTTTAAGAACCCTTAATCAAACTTAAGAACTCTTTAAAATGATAGATTTATTAGATAACCAATCACACTTAATTAAAAAAAAAATAGTGAGAACTTCATTTATTAAGTCTAACTATAGATTTTTGACTCGACATATTATGACAATTATATTTAACAAAAAGGAAAAAAAGAAGTGGATGGACCTTCCATTTGAAGTCCCAGGAAGCAACCAACCTTTGACACAAAAAATGGAAGCCTTTAAATTTTGACAAGCAACCCAAGCCTGAATCGTTGGATGGATCTGTTCTGCCACCACCTACAACAGAACCCTGGTTCTGGTTTTTTGCATCAGACATACACAGTAGCATTGACAATTTCGTGTAGCATACAAGTTTGCTTATTGATATGGGGTTGAATCTTGTATGTGCATGACATTTTTCTTTTTCTTTTATACCAATGAGAAAGCCCAATAGCCACATGAAAGGGTTGTTTTATAGAAATGGACGGAGTAAGAAAATTTTAAAAATTACATCCTAATATGATTTTTTTTTTCATACTTTCTATTCTAAAATTATGAGATGCAAGACTTAATTTGTCGTTGTTGTATTAATGAGAAAGCCCAATGTCTCAATGACAAAAGAAGATTTGAACCATGAATCTTAATCGTTTTAAAATGGATAACAATAACGTAATTAATTTTAAGTTAATTACAAATGATTTTGATAAAGCATGTACATTCATCCATGTCTACACAGAAAAATACTTGATTTTCACCATGATATGGAAAACAGAGAAATTTGGAGTCTAATGTAAATTCATTGTTTAATTGTAGGATTTGGGGGCTATCCATGTGATGCAAATACGAGAGATTCTCCATTTCTAGCCACTAATCATTGAAAAAAAAAAATGGGGTTAGGCTGATTTTGCAATTTGCAAAGAAGCATCATTAAGCCAATAATATCTTGTTGTCTACCAACTTTCCCATGGTTGAAGACTACCTAATCCAAATATCAGCCACAAGCTTTATATCTGGCTGAGATTTAGTCCCCTTTTTTTTAAGATATATAATTGGCTCTAAAGCCAGGTTGTTGATTATGTTCACATGAATATGTTCTTGAGAAACAAAATAATTAATCATTTTTCCTGTTTCCAAGTTTCCTTAATTAGGAAAGCAAAGCAAAATTTTTGTTTCTAAACAAGGAAATGGGCCCTCCCCTTTTGTACTTTGGACTGTAATGACTACAAAATTGTGGCTTAAGATTGAGATTGTAGGCTTGTCAAAGTTTATTTTGCCTTGCACTCCCCCATTTAAGGTTTTAGTTTACAAGATTTTCTTTTATGTTTATTCTTGAAATTATTGTTTTTTTTTTTTAATATTTATGGCTAAAATATTTTAAAAAAGTTTCTAAATTAATTTTTAAAAATAAATTTATACTTTTTATTTTATTCAAATAAATTTTTATTCTTTGTTTTATATCCAAATAGATTTTTTTTTCAAATTAAAAATTGATATATGTTAAGTCCTTAGTTAAATACAAATTAAAAATTAATGATTATTTGAGTGTAATAAAAATATAAAAACTTATGTAAGTTATAAAATTCAAGAATTTTTTTATTATTTTAGTTGATATTGTTAGCCTTGAATTGATCTTTATTTTGAAATGACAAAACATTAAGCTAAATAAGCTTGATCAAGATTTTGAAAAAGATTTATTTAGTACATGTTCTTAAGTTTTATATTTTGGTACTAAATAAATAATATGATTTTCAAAGCTTAAACAAACCTTTCTTTGTTTTCATATTTCTCAAACCAAATCTACCTTTAAAGATTATTTATTTAAGCTTAAATGAAAGTCCAATTGTTGTTTTTAAAGTGAACTTATTCATTTTGGACTTAATACAATTTTGATAATATTGGTTTTGAGAAATAGATTAACTTAAGAAAGTTATTTTACAAAAACAAAGTTTTCCAACATTAAACTTGTTTTATTTTTGTGTATTAATTCACAAAGTCTTAATATTTGAATTTTATATGGGCGGAAAGCTCTTTGAGTCTACTTTCTAATGGATCAAACAAAATCAAAATCCAAATTTTTTAAGAAAAGATTTTGAATTTTTACTAGACACTCTGCAGTTGTTAAAAAAACCACATAAGGCATAATTTTAAAAATTTACTATAATTCGTATACAGTGAATTAGGTGATGAACTTTATATGGATAGAAAGCCCTTTAAGTCTAGTTTTTAAATATTCAAACAGTTTGTGATTTGGATTTGTATAACTCAAGTTATGATCAAATTAGTAAATAGAGTGTAAAACGAGAAACTACCACCCAGCATGGACAGGATCGATCTCCTCTAGAAGGGATCGATTGGTTTTCAAACAGAATGCTCCAATGACCAAAAATCCAGAAAAGGGATCGATCTTCTACAAAAAGCATCAATTGGTTAGGCTATTTTCATTGGAAATTTTGTTCAAAACGTGAACCAATCGATCCCCTAAGGGAGGGGATCGATCCCTTGAAGGCCAAAATCACTTCAACGACTATTTTATCAAGGATTCAACGGCTACTTTCACTTCCCAAACACTTTCAACAGCT